TTTTTTTTTTTAATTGACACCAGTGAGAACATGGATTAACAACTTCTCATCAACAAAGTCCATACCTGTTTTTTGGTAAATGGTGTATTAGCTAAACTGAAATCAGAAGCAATCAATTTAAATGTGCATGTATTGAATGCTCGCAGTGCATGACATATAAAATCTGATTTTAACTTCACAGTAACCAGTTCCCTGCTGCTGTTAGGTACACTGTTCTACAGATAAGCAAACAGGCTGAGAGAGGCCTATGGCACAGGGCACACACATGGCCCCATAAAGAGCTGCTGAGTATCTGTTTCTCCTTGGATACCAGAGCCCAACTTCAACTAATTTTTTTTTTTTTCTTTAGAAAGTACCTCAAAAGGTAAAATTTATCAAATGATGAAAACTTCCATACAGTTAGATAAGAATTCTTTTTAGATAAGAAAAAAAATTACCAACTTCAGGGTACTTTTCCAAAATTGACAAAGATTTCATATTACATTCATTGTTTCACTCAACAAATAGTAAAGAAAAATAAAATAAAAACCCAGGAGTAACCCCACATCTCCACATAGGCGTGACATCAACAATAGCGGCAGGATTCTACTTTTTATTTTTATCTTAAAAAAGAGAAAGGTTCCCTCTCAGCATATGGAGGAAATGGACAGAACACAGACCTAGTACTACAGTGAGTGAAATTCTGAAAAATGACCAGGATTGGCTGCTTCAGAAAAACCATCGGCAAGTTGATAGCATATTTACTCATGCAAACCATAAGAACTGAATATCTGCCTTAAATCTTTTTGGTCCCCTACAGCCTACTCAATCTTTAGTGTTCTGTGCCAACTTTACCTAACAGGAGATTCAGTGTGGCTAGGAGCACTGTGAACCCAAATTGTGTGATACGGACCCTAAATCGCAGTAATAGAATCTTATACCATCTGATGTGAATAATCACACAGACTTATTTCGTGCCTTACAGATCCAGAATATGTCATGTGTAGCCAAAAGGATGCATTTAAAATCCAAAAGCTATATTATAAAACTTTTAGACCAAAACTACACAAAACACAACTGTAATGCTATTTTCCTCTAAAATCTCATGGGAATATTTTTGCTAAGACTGTTTTCTACACGTTTAGCAGACATTCATAATTTTCAGGTTCTCATCTGAAACAGCATTCTACATCTTTGTACTGTAGACAAGCTGTCTTGATGAGACCTCAGAAGAGTAACCTGATAACTAATATAAAGCCAACTAATCAGTCTCTCCTTCTCAAGTGTAACCATTAGGCTTTCAAAGTGCCCCCTTAGCCTGCATTCATTCACAGGAAGCTGATAGAAATGAATTCATCCAAGGATCATCATTAGGAACAGCCACCCTTAAAGGAGCTATACTTGGGCTTTACAGAACATTACTTTTAATTCACAAAACGATCCAACAAATTAGATGCTATCATTCATCCAACCAATGAGAAGACTGAGGGTCAGCAGAAATTCAAATTTTGCCCAAAGGGTACAGCTACTCAGAGAAGAACCTTTAAAATGGTGGCTTCAAAATTTATAAAACCCAGCAGCCTTCTGTGTCCTCAACAGATCCCTGTCTACAACTACCTGCTCGAATTGCTAACTCCATGAGCACCAACTTCAGCCCTAAAGTAAACTGATGAGGTCAATTTCCACTCTGGACCTGAGTTCCTTTGTGAACCCAAGAACGATTTGCCCAAAATGCAAGGCCATCTGCGGGTGCCAAGCCAAAGGAGTTAACTCCCGGTCTGAGCCTGCAATGCTAACTGTAAGACTTGTCAAGTGATTCACCCACAGAAGAGGCATCCTGAGGAAACCCCCCTATCAGTGGAGATGGGTGAGAGGAACACACTCAGCTTGCAATTTTAAACAGATATATTGCATTGTCTGCCCCATCTTTGTCTCCTTGATTTCTCCCCTCCTCTCAAGAGTCTTTTCTTGCATGTGGGGGGCATACAGAGGAGGAGGGGTTGATGTCAAAGAGAGAAATGTATTTGGAGATTTAACTAGAACAGCACTGGGAAAATCTTGATGTGAAAAAACAAACAAACAAAAAAAGTAAAATCTCTCCCAAAAGGAAACACCTGACCCACATGGATCCTGGGCCTGAGGTACAAAGTAAAAGTATCACAGTAGATCTATTTTCCTTCTTCCTTTTTTCTCATCTAGGTTAAGCTACAGCTGATCAGAAATTTAATGAAAATTGAGTTATTCTATGAGCAGGAATGCTAAATTCAGAGTGGTTATATACAACAAAGTAAACAAGCAAATAAACCCAATGCACTGAATTATGATAAAGTATACAGAAGGTATCAGGGACCTTAGGGGGGAAATCCTGGGACAATTATATTCATAGGCTGGTAAATTTATTGCCTGATCTGTGTCCCAACAGGAAACATGTGCCCAGAAAAATAAATTAGAGAAGTGCTCAGCTCTAAGCTAGTTTAGTTAAGGAGTAATGAAATGGATAAGAATAGATGATGTGAGGGAAAGAACAGACTCAGATGCTTTTAGCGGGATGTTTCTGGTTTCTATTATCACTTCTCTAACATAAATCTAACTCCACAGTACTTTAATGACTCCCTAGGGTCCACCACTCACAGGATTAAATGCATCCAGTGCTAAGAAGGGACCCAAGAGACAGAGGCCTTTCATGTGTCAGAGCTGTGGATTGTTTTAAAAATAGATTTAAGGGTAGTGTGGACTGGGAGAAAAAGAGACAGACAGAGACAGAGAGAGCTAGCAAGGAGAGGGAATGAGAGAGAGAGTGAGAGAGAGAGAGAGAGAGAGAGAGAGAGAGAGAGAGAGAGAGACAAGAAAGAAAAAGAAAGAAGCGAATGCTGGAGTTTACAGCTCTGGAGACCTGAAATGGTAGAAGTTTCTTTTACACTGGAGACTACTGTGCCTTCCTTGAATCCCTCCTCACAAAAATGACAGCTGTCAACAGGGCAGCCATGCTATTTAGGTTCCACTCCTGTGACTCCTACCCACTTTCGATGTAAAAGTTGTCTGCTCCTCTGAGGCTTGTGGTATCACCTGTCTCACACTGGCCCTTCACCAAAGACTTACAGTCCCTCTAGGCCTCAGTTTATCCCACTGCCATGAAACCTCCAAGGAGGCTTCAGTCTCTAAAGTTATGTGAGCCTGTGATTCTGACAGAAGGCTCCAGAGGGAAATAGGGAAGGGTATAGAAGAAGAGTTGTATAAAACAGTCCAGCTCTCTGACTCTGGCAACTGCTAACTGCGCAGGAAGAAGTTGTTCCTGTAGGGTCCCTCAGCCTTTCATTTCCTCCTTCTCTTTTTCTTTATTGACTTCTTTCCCTTGACAAGCCTGGCCCATCCTAAGCATTACTGCTTAATACAGAAGCAGAAGCAGTGGTTTCTAAGGTCCCACCAGCCCCTAGGCATCTTGGCCTTTATCTCAGGAGCTGGGTCCTGGTGTAGGGAAGGTTTCTGAGGAATCCCAATGGGCCCGGCCCTCCACAACCTAAGTGGAGCCTCTCTGCTAACCGAAGAAGTCATCAGTTAGAAAGGGGGTGGGGCTGAAGAGAAGTGGGTTCTCTTCATTTCATTGGCGAAAACCCTGGTGATGTGGAGACCACACTCAGGCACGTAGGTGCAAGAGATTCTCCACCAGCCTCCTCCTCTCTGCCCACGCGCCCTCCGATAACCCATCTACAAGCCAGAACTGTCTTCACCTGCCTGCTTTCTTATTCTACTTTCCTGGCCACACATTCTGTTAATCTGCAATGTCAGTATGCATGGTGACATTTAAATGGGGACTCTCAGATTTCCAATCGGTCGTTCCTAAGTCCCGGGCTTCCATGTAACTTAAATGGCTCCCACAGTGTCAAGCACACAGCACCAGCACCCCACACTGCAGCAGCTTTCTCGGGGAGGTTTTGTTTTTCCTGCTGAACCTTTGCAAAGGCATTTGCTCAGGATGCAGCAACCTGCATTAGTGTAGCAAACGGGCTGATGGGTGAACCCAGCCTGAGGGAACAAATGCGTGGGCCACCCTGTCCCCTTAAGCCACCGGCCCCACAAGCCAGGTCTTTGAAAGCCACAGGAAAGGGGAAGGAGAAGGGATAAGGAGCATAAGAACACTAAACGAATGAACATTTTTCTTCATTAGTAAATAAGAAAATAAAGATAACTCACTATTTCAGACTCATCACAGCAACATCCACATGGAAATCCAGGTAGTTAAGAATAAGAGAAAAACACATGATCTTGATACCAAAAAGAAAAGAAATGAAAGGGGGGAAAAAGGAGGTTGATGAAGAAAAATCCAGCTGCAATTATCCGTCAGTTTTAGTCAACATAGGCACAAATCCAACAGTGCTCTGCTGGTTTCTCTCCCCCAATCAATGCCCCTCATTCTGCCGCGGTCAACTTTTCTTCTCTGAAATTTCCTTGCAGATGTATTATTAATTTCCTCTCCTCTTGTGGGAAATTCAAAACGGAAGAAGAAAAAGAAGAAGGGGAGGGGAAAAAAAACATATCAGGTCTTTCACTTTCCTAAAAAAAGCCCCAAACTTTTCACGCCAAAAATATCTCCTTGGTGTACTTTCATCTTTGCAGAGAAAAATAAGCATACTTTTTCTTAGTGGATCGGAGCTTCTCCATTTCCAATCATCCTTTGGGGGAGGGAGGCGAGGGGGGGGGCAGCTATTTTATTCTTATTTATTTATGTCGGAACACACCAACCCCCGCAGCGCTGAGACAGGTTTACTTCATCTTCCAAAGCTCCCTCGGTGCCCATACACACATTTTTGTGTTACGATCCAGAAAAAGCTTCGTTCTTCCTTTTCGCTTGCACCATCAGTTTATCCGCGGCGCTGGGCTCCAAGAGAGAGCTGCGTCCGGCATCCTTCATTTTTGCAAAGCGCCCCACAACCACAGCCACCGCCACCAAAAAAAAAAAAAAAAAAAAAAAAAAAAGTCTCCTTTTGCGTCGTCGACTCCTTTCCTCCGCGGCTGCTCCCCTCCCTCGAAGATTTTGGGGATCAACTGCCCCCACTCGCTCGCTCTCCTTCCGGCCGGCCCCTCAGCCAGAGATCTGATTAGATTCTCATCACAACCCAGTGCGCAATCGGATTTCTGATTTCAGCCGCCCGCCGGGGCGAGCCGCCTTCCTCCCCGCTCCCCGCCAGCTCGGCCGGCTGCCGTCTCCTTCCCTCCGCAATTTCAGGATCTCACGGTAAACCGAGCGCGGGCGGCGGGGGCGGAAAACCTCCAGGCTCCGTCAGCTGTCAGGAGAAGCCCGTCGCCTCCCCGCAGGACTTTTTCTTTTTTCTTTTTTTTCCCCCCAAGGTTGGCGGGGCTCGGGCGCTGTCCCCGCCCCCAGCCCGGTCCCGGGTCCTGATCCGGATCCGCCAGGTGCAGCCCGAGTCCGTGCTCGGGGCCGCGATCGCTGGGATCGCGGGGTCACGGGGGGGACCCGCGCCGCCCTCGCTCGCCCGTGGCCCCGGTCGGCCCCCGGGTCCCCTCCTGCTCCATCCGCGCGGATCCGGGGGCGCCTCGGCGAGGAGGAGGAGCGGGGTGCAGCTCAGAGTGGGCTTTTATTTCCAACAGCGGAAAAGGGAAAGTGGTGGGACCGCGGGAGTGTAGGAAAACTGAAAAAAAAAAAAAAATTGAAAAAGAAAATTTTAAAAAATTAAAAAAAAAATTTAAAAAAAGGAAAAGAGAAAAACACAAGTGCAAAGGGGGTTAAAGAAATAAATCAACCCCTCAGCACCGGCTGCTGTCCTTCGGGGAGGGACCTGCGGCTCGGCTCCGGATCCGGCCGCGCGGGGCGCGCTGCGCAGCCACAAGTTGTCCCGGCGCGCAGCGGAGCTGGGGTCCGCGCGGGGGCGCGGTCGTCGGGGCGCAGCGGCTCGGATCCCCCGCGGCTGCTCTGCACCCGCAGCCTGGCCCCCTGCCTCTCTCGGCCGTGAACTCTCTTGCTCCCCTCCCTCTCTTTGCTCCTCTCCTGCCTCCCCAAATAAATACATGCGCTCCCACCGCTCCAGCAGGGCTAGGCTCTCCCTCCACCAAAGCTCTGTCCTGTCCTTTAGAGCCTGAGCTCCCGAGGCTCCTCTAGGACCGCAGTCCCCCGATCGCCTCTGCCCCTCTTTCTCTCCCCTTTCCCTTTCTCTGCTAGTGATCAGTAAAATACAATTACCCAATTACCTCCCATCATCTTAGCACTGATTGGTCAATTGCATTAACACTTGAAGTCGGGGAAGAGGGACCCGAGCCTCTCAGGTGTGGCACGGCTGCCACCTGGAGGGCAGAGCGGGAACGGCGGCGTGGCCAAGCAACCCCCACCCTGGGAGGGAGGTTAGTATTAGGTAAAGAAATTCAGGCTGTGTGGGAGAAGTTGTCAAAAAAAAAAAAATTTTTTTTTTTTTTCCCTCCGAAAAGCATGCCAGTTTTTCATCCGGAAACCTAGGAGTTTTAAGCTATAAAGAGGAAAAACAGTGAAATCAAATCACCACTAGGATTCAAAATTATCACCAGGCACACAAAGCTGTTGCTTTCGGATTGCAGGGTAAGTCTCTTCCAAGTGCAGCAGGCTGGTCCCAAGGTGAGGATTAACACAGCGCTATTACTTAGAATCGGCTCCTCAGAAAGACGCCAGGGTAGCGCCTAAGCCACCAGGGCGGGAGCAGGATAATCTCCGTAGAAGGAAGCCACTGTAAAGGCGAGATAGGCGCCTTCAGTCTAGGCAGCCTTGCAGTAAATTGGCCTGTTCAGTTTGTACAAGACATCCAGGACAGCTTGACAACTCAATTCCAGCATCCCTCGCTCCTGGATGTAGACTTTTCCATCAACTCGTGTTAGGGGAGCGCTGGACACATGTCAGCTTTGCAAGGTCTCCTAAGAAGGAGAGACCAGGACCACAAGCAGTGATATTAATTCTCTATTTATATTTCTTTCTTTTTACCTATATCACGGTCCCAAGGGCCTTTCTGTGGCTATCCATGCTATGCCACTCAGCTGTGGGATCCTGAGACGTGTAATGGGTAAAGTTATGAACGATGATTGAATCAGGAAAAAAATGGTATCTAGGGGATGAGAAGGTGGATAAACATTTTCTAGTTCATCTTTCCTAAGTAAATGTTTGTTTATTTTGGAGAGATCAGAATTACGTACTTGGTTCAAAAAATTTTATACAGAGTTGAGAAAACCAGAGTAAGAGGTGATATTGAAAAGAAAAATAAAATTTTTACTAAGGAACATCGGCAGGATATTTACCCTTATTCCATTTTTTTTTTTTTCTTTTCTTACTGGTTACTGTTATAGTACAATATATATTCCCTTACTTAACCTTGCAAAATTAACATTTTAAAAATCTCTTTGGGGTAGAAGCAAGGACATTATTTAATGTGGATTCTAGATGCCAGTCCCTACAAGGGGAAAGACATTTCTTCCCCATAAACTATAATTTCCCCATTTTTTTCTTTGGCAGAGCTTGAGCGTAGCTATGGATAATATCAAAAGGAGAGTTCGTTAAGGGGTGATGGAATTGCTTCTTTTTAATGCATGCTGTATTGATTGATTGAAAACACCATGAAGCCGTAGATTATAATTTAAATTTGTATTTTTCAGTATAGTTTGCCAACTAGTAAGTCGTTTAAGGTACATTCACTAGCAGCTCCAAAAGTCTACCTGAAATGAAAATTCTCTTTTCAGGGAAGCTGACCTTAAGAAGGCCAATTTTTCTGCAAAACTGATTATTACCAACCTATTAGATATCTTTCACACCTTTTGGGATGAATTAATCTCTCAAACAAAAGAGCAGGGAAAGATCTGTGCTTGTTATTCAAAGAGAACATTGAAAGATTTACTAATTCTGTTCACTGTCACATTCAGCAGCTACAATATTGCTTCCCATATGTGTTACACATTTATACTATAAGAGATTAGCCTGGTCATTTGGACTTCATTTTTATATTCAGATTTAACCAGGAATTACTGAACTTCTATATGCCTGGTATTTTGACTTCTTTTCATCACCTAATTAAAAACTTATTTACACTTCTAAAACATTTTGAGTGTGGAGGAAGGGAGGCTTAGAGTCACATACATGGTGCATCACAGCCAGGTTTTGAAACTAGAGCAGCTCACTTCCAATATTTACAGCTGTCACTATGTTTCTTTGATAGGGTAACATGGTGACAACGTCTAAGACCATCATCAGCATACAGAGTGTCATCATCAACACTGATTCCCAGAGGTGACTATGTATTCACCTGTTGAAAAATGGCATTGTCACATTTGTCCCTAATGGATTCTACTCAAAGAGAATAGAAATGAGTAGTAAACAAGCTAATGCATGCAAATCTAGTTAATAATACTGTAAATACAGAGAGTTATGCAGTAGAGGCTGCTAGGTACGTTCAAAAACAAGAGGGCACTTTTCGTGCCAATTCTTATTAAAATCTCTTTTAGAAGGAATAATTGTTTTATAAGTAGTTGGTCACATCTTGACACTCTGTCTGTCTAGACATCAGAAGTATGTGACATGCCAAAATGGTACGGGGTTGAGATACCTTGGAGAAAAGAGGACGTAGTGCTAGCACAGAAAGTTTGTTCTATGGTCCGACAGACCTCTGCATTGGTTCTTCTCTGAATTTTAGACATTCGAGTAGTGAAATAAAATTTTATTATTTCAGTGTCTGACTAGCTGGTGTAATCTTTAGCAGACAGCAGGGGACAGCATCTTGTAAACACAAATACAAAATACCCACTAGAATGAATTCACTAACCTTGTTTAAAAATAAGGAAAATGTAGATGTGAGTATTTGATTTATTAAGGGGATGTAATAGGCTTTAGACTACTCTACTAGAGCACAATGCATTCTTAAGTTTTGAATCTTTATTATAAATCCTAGGGATAATTATTCCCTTTTTATTGCCAGTGTTATTATACAGGGACCAGAACAACCTGTGGAATAATCATATCAAGCTTGCTTCTATTGTCACACACAATGACATCAATTAATTTTATTAAATTACAACTTTTTTGGAAGCTACTTCAATATTAAAATACCAAATTCACTGGGAATTTACAATATGTGTGGTATTAGACAATATTACATGGATGTCTTATTTCAAAACCATAATATATCCTAATTCCCATATCCTTATTCTGTGATAATAGAGATGTGAATTCTGTGTTACAAGTAAATTTGTAAATGTCTTTTTTTAACCAATATACTGTATAGTGGCTGCCCCACTACTCAGCTGTTATCTCACTTAACATTTCTTTTTGTGTTTTCATGCTCCAGAAGAAATTATGCTAATGACTAATATCTAATGGGAGCTTACAAATGCCAAGCATGATATTAAGTATGTTATAATTTCAGTTCAGGTTGTCTCCTCTCAACAATCTTATAGAGGGTTAAATATCATTACAATTCTGTTTTAGAAATGTTGAGCTGGAGTTGAGGAAATATACCCACCTAGGAAGTGAAAAACAGATTTTAACTCATTATTTTGTTTCACACATTGTGGTTGTTAAAACATATATACACTGGATGGTAAATCACCTCTAAACTGTGATTGGCTTCAAAAGTTAATTTTTATATTTCCAATATTTAGCACTTTGCTAAGAGGGTGAATGTCTGAGATTTTGACACTAAAGAATGGAAGAACCTACATCTGTTTTTTTTTTTTTTTTTTCCTACCTAACAATCTTTTTAACTGTGGTGTACAAAATGCTAAAAAGATAAGACACTTATCACAATCATTCAAATTGAAAAATGAAGAGAAATGCCCACTAAAAACATGATTTCATAAGAATATACAGCTGTACAACTTCTGAATGAGTTGGCAATTGATGCATAATGAGCTATTATATATTTAGTAGTTGAAAATAGCAATAGTTGGTTGTTTCTTAAAAGTCTGTAGGCCAGTTAGAGATGAGTTAATGGTTTTTCTGATCTTGGCAGGGTTTGTTATTTGCTCATGAACAATGGTACTACAGAGGTCACTGGAGAAATTCAACTCCACCATCTCAGCCTTCCTTAGTTGGCCCTGGCATATTTCTTGGCAATTTCAGAAGTTCAAGGGAATAAACAGGGAAAGGTAAGTAATTTTTTTTGATCATTACACTGTAGTGTGAATTAACCACTTGGTAAAACAAATCACTTAGTTGAGCCCACTGTAAAGGAATGAGGAAGGTCCCCCGATCTACAATAGCAGGTCACTCTTGCAAAAGTTATACATCAAAAGAATGCAGAAGTAGGGCCATCATTGTAATCAGTCACAATTTTCATCTCTCACAGATAACAAATTTCCTTAGCAGTTACTGGGGTTTACCAGGAAAAAAATTCTCCAAGTTAGGGAACATTCAATCATTTATTCCAATAGATGCATAGCAATCTTCAGTTCAATACCAGGGTTTTTGGAAGGCATCATTTACTTCTTGTTTATTCCTGCTTCTCTGATTTGTGATGCTGCTTGAGGAATGGTTTACAAATTTACCCAATGAATCTCAGAGACCACTTTTAGGTTTCTGGCAACACAAGAATGACACTTTTTATTATTTTATTTCCTTAATACCAATTGTCTTGAGAAAGCGAAAGAAAAAATAAAGTCTAAATAAAGAAATGTTAAGGGAAAACTCAATTGCCTCTGCAAAGACAAGAAACCACAACATAGGGAAACTATTTGCAAATACATTTAAAGGGGGATTGGCACTCTAAACGTATAAATAGATTTAGAAATAACTAAGATTAATGAGGAAAATGTAACACTAGTCAATTTGAAGAATAACTGGCTATTTTAAAACTTATCAGGAACAACATGGCTTAGCCCCAAGTCTAACTCTTGGGTCTCTTAGTAAATTTTGATTGACTAGGTGAATAGAGTGTCTATTTGGTGGGGGACAAAAATGAGTAGATAGTTATGGTCAAACAAGTCACACTGACATAATATAAAGCAAATGGAGTAGGTAAGGATGCAGAGAAAGCAGTAGCGAGCTCTTTGTAAGGAGGGAACAAGAGGCCTTCCCAAATAGACAGCCTACATGAAGGTACTGTTGGTGGATGCAAAGTTGTTCATTTTCCAGCCAGAGGAAGACAACATGACACTTCATTAAGTAAATACCAAACAATCAGCACAGTTAAAACTCAGTTCACTGGGAAAATGCCAAGAACCGGGATAGCTGGGTCAAACAGGACCTCTAATCCTAGATTTTTGGGGAATCACCACACTGATTTCCACAGTGGTTGCACCAGTCTATACTCCCACCAACAGTGGAGAAATATTCCTTTTTCCCCACGGCCCCACCAGCATTTGTTATTGGTTGATTTCTTGATCGTGGCCTTTCTTTCTGGAGTGAGATGGAATCTTGGCATTGTTTTAATTTGCATTTCTTTAATGACCAATGATGCTGAACATGTTTTCATATATGTATTTGTCATTTGTATTTCTTCATTTGAGAAGTCTGTTTTCATCTCAGATGCCATTTTTGGATTGGGTCCTTGAATTTTGGGGGAGATTTGTTTTAATTTTTTATATGTTCTAGATAGAATTCCTTTGTCTGAGGGAAACTGGCTAATATTCTTTTCTAACTTGTGGGTTTTCTTTTGTCTCTGTTGGACATTTCTTTTGACATGCAAAAACTTTTTAATAAAATGAGATCCCAGTTGTTGATTCTGGGAAGTATTTCCCGTGTAGTTTGATTTTTGTTGAAGAACTCTCTGCCTTCCCCTATGTCATCAAGATTTCTACCTACTTTGTCTTCCAGCAGATTTAGTGTTTCTGTTTTAATAAATATTTAGATCTTTGATCTATTTTGACTTTTGTTTAGTGCCTTTTCATGCACATGAGTCTAGTTTTAGTTTCTAGCACATTAAAAGCCATTTTTTCCAGCACCACTTACTAAAGAGGCTTTCTTCCATTGAATATAGTTGACTCCTTTGTCAAAGAAAAAGTGGCTGAGTGTGTTTGTAGTTGTGGTTGTATCTTCTAATCTATTGCATTGAACTTCAGGTCCATTTTTATGCCAGTATCATGCTGATTTTATCATTGTAGCTTTGTAGTATAACTTTAACACAGGGATTGTGGTGCCTCCTGCCTTGCCTTTGTTGCTCAGAATTGCCTTTGGTATTTTAGGGCTCTTCTGGTTCCAGATGAATTTTAGGAATGATTTCTCTAGATCTGTGAGGTATGCTAGTGATATTTTGATTGGGATTGCATTACATTTGTATAACAAATTTGGGAGAATGGCCATTTTCACAATGTTTGTTCTTCCTATCCATGAACAAGGAATGTCTTTCATTTTTCTGAAATCCTCCTCAATTTCTTTTTTAAGAGTACTGTAATTTTCAATGTATAGATCTTTCATTTCCTTTGTTAGATTGATTCCTAAATATTGAACTTTTGGGGGTGCTGTTTTGAATGGTATGATTTCTCTTATTTTTGTCTCGGTGAGTTTGTCGTTTGTGGAAAGGAATGCTATTGAGTTTTGAGTGTTGAAGTTGTATCCAGCTACATTCCTGAATTTGGTTATTAGATCTAAAAGTTTTTCAGTGGAGTTTGGGGGTTCCTCTGTATAGAGTATTATGTCATCAGCAAATAATGATAATTTATTTCTTATACTTATTTCTTTCTAATTGCTCTGGCTAATGTTTCTAGAATGATCATACCAAGGTGATATATGTGAACCCATTTTTTACAGCAGCACAATTTGTAATAGCCATTTCTTGGAAACAACCCAAATATCCCTCAACCAAGGAATGGATAAAAAAGGTGTGCTATTTTTATACAGTGGAGTACTACTCAGCTATAAAGAAGGACGGCAACAAGGCTTTTATAGGTAAATAGATGAGACTTGAGAGCATACTCATAAGTGAAATAAATTAGACTTATATGTGCAAATACCATATTGTCTCCCTAGTGTAAAAAACTGAAGGAGTAAATAAGACCCAAAATCTACAATAGATATTGTAAAGGGGTAAGAAACTGCTCAAAGTGGAAAAATAAATTGGATTGGGGAAAGGAGGAAAGAAAGAAGGAAAAATGAAATATATAAATTTGTGTATATATAAATATATATGACAGCTAAAATGATTAAACTACTAATTCTATTAGTTCATGGGAAAGAACAGTTAATACTCAAAAACTGATCATTTTGCATGTCTATATCTGGTAATCTGAGCAACTGTTTTGAAGATAAAATATGCAATATAAAAACCATTGTTAAATTCCTATCATTTGGTTTTGAAAGCCTATATAGTTATTGTTTTGGGTTTTTTATTCTTGTAGTTGTTTATCTCTTTTGTTTTTGTCTTCTGTTTTTTTCTCTTTAAAATAAAAAAAAAGAATTCAACTTACATACTTAACTAAGGAGAAGGTGATCAATTATTAGATGCTATGGAGAGATGCAAAGAATCCAGATTTTGTGAGTGAGTTAAAAGTCTTAAAAACAACAGCAATTGCAAAAGATGTTTGGGAAGAAAAAGCAGTAAGGGATCAAAGATTGCTTATCAGTCTAAATTAGGCAACATGACAAACTCTAGGAATGACTTAAAGTAAGAAAGATTAATGAAAAGCTGTTGACAATTTGGCAATCACTTCTGAATTGATTTAGATCCAATTATTTTAATAAACATTTTAAAACAATGACCCAGAACTTGTAAAATGCAATTTCTCTTGTCAAACATCTCTAAGGGAGCTGGTGTATATACATAGATAGTAGATGGTGGTATTTTTGCACTATCTAAATTAAGGATCTTTACACTGGGAAGGAAATTGCCCATAAAGGTATCTTTAAAACTCCACCAGGAATTAGTAGATGGTGTGAATCCAGTTGTGTAATTTGAGAAGACAGCTGTGCTTTATCCAGCTAAATCAGCACTTGATACTAAACAACTTTTCGGAATGTCACTTTCTTTCAAGTTATCCACACAGTACAGATTCAAGATATGATAGCCTTGTTTTCCCCATTGAATTACTGTTGTTGTTTTCTGAAAATGAAGTGCAGAGATTACAAAATTCATTTCTCTTCACACTGTAGATTCATTAGCACATCTGTGATTTCAGGCTTTCAGCTGGTTTAGAAGCACATGATTCAAATGATGTAAAATGGTCTCCATTTTTTTATTGTCCAGGTTGTTAGCAAGGCTAACATTTTTGGTAGGCAAATGAGAGGACAGGAGATGTTGTGGGTTTTTGGTTAAAAAAAAGTATTTTATTTACACTGAAATCAAATACTTCTTTAGCATGTCGATTACATAATTCTCCAATAAATAAGCTTAGTGCATGTAAACAAATATGAATTTTCAAAATGAGAATAAGGTGGGATGGGAGTCCCCTGACTCAAGACATAGATCTTTTCAATATGTTAACAACTATGCTTTATAGGATTAATGAGAGAGAATAATTATCCTTGTAGCAGGCATGGATGATAGGGCGTGTTCCTAACTGCAAACTCCTTGCATAGGCTCACTGCACTCAGCATTTGCTGGATGGCTGTTAAGTGACTGAGTGTTTAACATTTTATTCTTTAGTTGACAATCTTCCTGAGAAGGCTTTTTAACAAATGTTTTAGAAATTTTACAGAAGTTCACATTTTGCTTGGAATGACAATTATGCCACACTGAAATTCAATGTCTTACTTCATTTAAATCTTATAAATGATGTCACTTTTTGGTGTTCCTTTCCTTATTAATTTTAGGGGATACCTTAAAAAAACACAGGAAATTCTCCATTTTTATGTTTTATGTATATGGTTAGAAAATGGCAAATTGATGGTGGAATAAATTTTCTTTGAACAGGCTCATATTCCTTTTCCAAGGTTTTTACTTTATCGTCAGTATTTCATAAGTCTAAAGCTTCATCTGTAGGTTTTTTTCTTTTTTCAAGAAAATGAATATTGAATAAACAAATTACACATGGGTATTACCAATTTAATTCAATCTAATCCAATCTATTTACTTATTAGACAAGCATTTATAGAGTATCAGTTTCACAGGTTTCTGTGTATATTATTGCTGGGTATAATTAGTACCTTCTCACCATCTCCCACAGATGCCCTTGCTTTACAAAGGAGGAGTGCCCACAGAGAGGGGCGTGGCATGCTCGATTTGTAACACCGTGGGGAGGAGCCAAAAGTAGCAAATTTGGAGTTGCAGAGGCCTGAGTTTGATAAGCATTCAGTGTCTGTGCGTTAGGAGAAATGCAAATACTTAGGACTGAAGCTTAATAAGAATAAGCAGCAGAAGGAGACAAAATGCCAAGAGATGAAACTACAGAGAATGGCCTGCTCAATGATCTTTTTTTTTTTTCTTTCTTTCTTTTTTTCTTCTGAAGGTGTTTGTATGAGAGGTAGAGGGACATCACTGTGGCATGTTAAATTAATGAATGACATGACAAATTTACCAAAGACATCCCAAGGACAGACAGTATGCAGATGAATCTCAAAAGAAGAACAATGGGATGAAGGAGAGAAACTGGGAACTGACTGGAGGTTATGAAAACCTAAGGCAGTAGTTTTGGAGCTGGGAAAAAAAAAAAAAAAAAAAAAAACAAAAAAAAAAAAACTTCTGTATGCAGAATGTCTTGTGCCAGAGTCTACACAATTTTATTATTTTGCTTTAATACTGTTTGTTCCTATGCATGAATGTCTTCTTTGGAGGCACCACAAAATCTTCCTTCAGTATAATGAAATGTTTTCTACAAATGTTGCTGTCTGGTAATGCAATGGGTTGCCGGCAAGGTCCACTCAGTTTGCTCCAACATAGGCTGCTAGCTGTGCCTACTCCTCCCAGCAATTTTAAATTAAATCTACAGTTTCTAAGCATCATTGCTGATAAAATATGGCCTTCTATAGCAAAATGAGAGAGCTAAGTTCAAAATTAAGTAGAAGATGGACTTATTTACTAGTAGAATTTGGAGCAAAAACTCTTCAATTGGGTGTCAATTTTTCCGAATTTTTTAATAATTATAACTTGTGGTTCTTTTCATTATTTGATTTGATTTGATTTGATTTTAAAATAAAATATCCAGCAAATTGGAAAGCTGGGAACAATTGTTGGGACTTTATGTATTTACTGTGACATGGGGGGAATGATGAGAGGGCTTTCATGCTGAACTACATTCTCAGTCCTTAATTACACTTAATTATTTTTTTTTTAAATTTTTGAGAGAGAATCTCGCTAAATCACTCAGTTGGTCAGCCTAGGCTCAAATTTGTAACCCCCTTGCAGCAGAGTCCCAGAGTTTGGGGATTGTAGGTGTACAATGCTGTACCTGGCATTATTTATAAACCTAAATGGCATAAAAAAGTGTCAATTCCAAGACCTGTTCAACAGCTTATGTATGAGAATCCTCTGAACTCAGATTGTACATCTTTATCAGAATATTTCCTTGATAAGAAATGCTTCCTTGTAGATCAACAAAATCAAGTGACACATTATTCAAACTTTCACAAATCAGTTTCTAACTACAGAATATTCTTCCAGTTTCTAAGCACACTTTAAAATAACAAAAGAAAATTCTAAAATGAAATGGATGACATCTTACAAACACTCATGGTTTTAGTTTGCATCTTGATATCCCCCAAAGACTCATGCACTTTTGGATGATGCTTGCCAGCTGAATCCAGAATGTGTAATTGATTCCCAGTTCAATGCTGGGATAAAAGGTATGAGTACTACACCTGCCCTACTTCCGGTGGTTTACATAAAATATAAGGGACAGGAAGAAGGTTGCTCTCTCTGCTCTCTGCCTTGTCACTTTTGCTGTCTTTCACCATCATGAGCTTCTGCCACATGCCATATGCCTCCCTGCCTTGGAGCCAGCCTATTGTGGACTGAAACCTCTACAAACTGTGAGCTAAATAAACCTTTCCTCTTTAACTTTGGGTTTTGGGTATTTTATCCCAGCAATGAGAAAAAGGTAAGTAATACACTCACTCAAATGCTTCTTTCACAGCATAATACATCAGACAAATGCTAAGAACTGTCCTTAGTATCACTTAGCAGAGTCAACTATTTCAGACAGAAGGCCCTCCACACAGGCCTCCCAACCTTCCTAAGCCATTGTCTAAGACATCACTTCAGGATCCTGAGGGATCCCCTGCCTCCTGCAGTGCTGAGTCTTTTCCTCAAAGTGCTGCTGAGAAGCAATGCAATTAAACTAAGCTTACAGTCTGAGAAGAGGGCCTCTAAGTGCTGTGCAGTCAAATGCTGCAGGATTTCAAATGGAAATGACATGAATTAATTCCCCACAAAGAACAAAAAGAAAAGTCAAGAAGAAGGCAGCTCCTTGTAGCACAATATGCAGATGAAATTCAGTCACTAATTGATTGAAGTGTCAGAAACATACCTTTCAGATAGAAATGAAGGCACTGAATGAGGCTGGGGGCTCTCGTGCTCTGCCTTATTCATATGAAATATTAACTGATGAAGTCAGGGTAAAATTAAGTTTTACTTGGAATCTTTAGCTTCTTCTCCTTTGCAAAAGCTACTCTGGAACAATGGTGCCTTGTGAAAGATGATCAGAGCCATCCAAAGGCCTCTCATCATATCAGGAATAAAATAAAATTATAATTTAATTTGGTGTGTCAGTGTGTAAAATTTTCTTTAACTGGCTTCATCTCCCATTAGCCTTTCTTCAACCTCATCCCACATCACATGCTTCTGTACTCTGGCCTCTCCAGTCATTAGGGCCTCTTTTTGTGCTCAAATACAGCTTTTGCAAATCACACTGGCTCTGCATAGCTTATTTCCCTCTGATCTTCATAGCCTGGGGGATCCTTTGAATTCCTATAAGGTATCAATTCTTCTGGTCAACTGAGGTATTGCTCCAATATCTAGTTACATCATTTTTTATATTATCTGTAGAATGCTTATTTGATGTCTTATTTATAGAATTGTTTCTCTGCCTCTGCTGAATGCATTGCCCCTAGAATCCTGGATAAAACCTTCACTTTCTTGTTCCTGACCGTATCTTCTCTTTATGGAATGGTTCCTGGCACAAGGTCTATGTTGAATAAATTTTTGAGAGAATGACTAATACAATAAAAGTTAGATCTCGACTCCAACTGTGTAATCATACAGTTGATACAGGCATGGATACAGGCATGGATCTGATAATGAAGTGTGTTGTTCTTTTAGCATTTATCCGATCCCCTTAATTAGGGATTAATTGAATGCTGCTACGTGTTGGATTTATTTAGATTCTGCCAAAGGTAGAAATAAAAACAAAACAACACAAAGCAAATATGCATGTTTCTAGCTTATATCATATATATGAAATTTTGAATAAAAGTCTGAATTTCAAAACCATCACCAAATTAGCTGTTAGATTAGCTCCCTACCTTGGGTAAATTATTTAACCTCTTTAAGCTTCAAACAACTCATCAATAACCAGCCACATCTATCCCACAGACTTCCAAAGCTGAAAATAAGATAATGCAGTTAGCATAGTTGCTTGCCTGTGAGAGTATTTATTTACTAGTAGTAACTACTATGCTAAATTTATACAACATGTCAGTTACTTTGTATTCTCTTTCATATGTTGGTACTTGACTAGCCAGCTCATTTTTGAGTTTGCCCTTAATAATATAATGAATGAGTCAAAGAGAACTGGCCCTGTGTTTTTCGGACAACTCTTCTTCCACGTCTCTACCAATCTTAGTCAGAATGTTTGATTAGAGGTTAAAATTATTTTTTCACTATACAAATATACAGCAAACTGAATTTTAAAGCTCTTTCAAAAGTATATTAAGGAAAATGTCATTTTCCTTATCTCTCCTATAAAGATTTAGTTATTATACCTTTAGAAAGTCAGCTCTTTCCCTTTCCCGATTGTTGAATGCTATCTTACAATGTGACGTGACCTTGAACTAATTCCTTTCCGTTTCTATGTCTCAGTGTCCGTTGTTGTAAGCAAGCATCTTCTTCCTGATGCGGCAGCTGCTCACTTCCTGGCAGCTAGGTGGAAATTGCTTTCTGATGATCAAAATCAGATTCTCTTCCGAAACTCCCCAGCACAAGTCTACAGGTTCACTCATTCTCTCCAAGTTAAAATTCATTCACAGTTTACACACAGCTGGAAGCACTAGCTATCACACAAAGCAGCCGGGCACATTTATTAAGTGCTTACTGTTTGACAGGTATTGTGGTAAGCAGTGCATACAAGTAGCATTTAATTATAGCTCCAATGATTGCCATGTGCTCATTCAGAGACTAACTACTTGCTTATATTCATATTCATGATGCTTTATAACATTACCCCTATCTTACACTATTTAACCCTTAAGGATCTGCATGGGATAGGCAATCTCTAGAGACCTTAATTTCCTTGTATATAAATAAGGAAAATACTAGGACACTTCATAATGTTACATGATTACACAATGTTTCTGTATTTGTGGGGAGGGTGTAACTTAACCCATGGCTTTCAGCATGGAATGCAAAAAGCTCTATCACTAAGCTATGCCCTTAACTGTATTATAGGGGTCTCTACCTGTGGCACATTTAGTATTTGAAGTGTGGTCTTTTTATCCTGGGAGGATGCTGGATGCGTTGTAGGTTTAATGTCCTTGCCTGTTCTTCACTAGAGGACAGTAACAGCCTCTCTTCTCCCTCCCCTCAACCTCTTCCCTGACTTGGCAATGGAAATATCCATAGATGTTGCCCATTAAGCCTCCCTCCCAAACTTCTAGGTTGGAGTGAAAAAGAAGATCCTTTTGGGCCCTTGACATACAATGCCTCCTTTACTCTAAGCTCTTCTGAACAAACTGTGTATTCTCTTCCTGACTAGAGAGAGAATATGGATCTCAACATTAGTTCTCGATTTTCTTCCTCTTTGTGTGTTTTTGGCACTGCTTCATTCTCATATTCCATGACTGGCTTACAAATTCCTGCTTGTCTTCCAGAGTTCTTTCCTATAGGAAGTTATTGCTAAATTTTTTCTGAATGCATCATACCTTTTCCACTAAATACTTTTAAATGCGTAACTTTAGGACTCTAACCATGAGGGTTACATCCTACCACATTTCACAATTCCTAATGTAGCTTTATCTTCTCTCCTCTTAGAACTAAAACCTCCATGAGAATGAGATTCTTTGTTTTCTGTCTTTTTAATCACCATAAAGGGTGAACACCAGCTTCAAGCCTGTATTATTTTCTCATTAAATGTGTGCTAAAGTGAATTTCACAAAATAGATAAATGGTTTCTTATAAAGCAATGACAACCTATGTTTAAGGAATTGAAAAAGAAGTAGAGGACAAAAATTAAAATTATGTACAAATGTTTGTTGAAATAGAAAACTGGGCCAATAGAAATTTATTGTTTGAACTATTCATGTTAAATGGCTTGGTTCATTGTTTCTTTTTGCATATGTAGAAAGAGCTGACAAAGAATTAGAGTTGTCATTTGAAAGCTATTTACTGATTTGTCTACTGATGGAATTCCTTTTTCTTTTGTTAGAAACAGAATTTATCAAAGGAGGCTCAAACAAACCCACAGTACTACTTTTTTTTTTTTTTTTTTTAAATCAAGAAAGGATGGCCAAGGAAGAAAGTGCCTATGAAAAAATTTTTCCATTTATCCCCATAGTATTGCAGGAAAAAAATCATCTTTAACCTCTCACACACTTTTTTTCTATGGTAGGTAAATATCCTATTCTTCAAGAGCTTGAAGTTTAAATTAGTTTTACACAACCACTATTTACATGACACAGTTGAGATGAAGTAGAATAAACAAAACCAACAACATTAAAATTTAACAGTACAGTTACTCTGTCAACTTGACGGATGATCCTCCCCAACACTGTTCATATTCCAATCCCAGGAATTTGTGGATATGTCATTTTGCACGGCAAGAGGAACCTTGCCATTGTCACTTGATCAGTGGTTCTAAAATGAGGAGAAATTCCAGGACTATCTGGTATGTCCAATGTCAACACAAGGATCCTCACAAGAACACAGCAAGGGCACAAAAAACTTGGCTCATCAGTCAACCTAATTGGTTATGAGGGGGCAAATGATTCAAGGCAGAACACTCAAAGATGATCATAACCC